AGACAGACAGATTGGCGCGTGTATATATATATATATATCGATAGATATTAATAGACTTGAATATATACATATGAACAGATTAGGATAGATAAAAAAAGATGAATAGATGGATGATATAGATAGATGACCTAACAGACTGGACAGAAGATAGATTGGCTGATATATAGATATTTTGAGATATTAATAGACTTGAGGCATTAGGATAGATAGATATTTTATGAGAGAACTGGATATAAAATATGAACAGATTAGATGTGCAATATAATATTATAGATAGACTGGTATATACAATGATATGATAGATTAGGATGAATAATGAATGAATACATAGATAGATAATGAATAGATGGATTGAATGGATGGATGTAGGAGACTGGGATAGATAGATGATGAGAGAGAGAGAGAGAGAGAGAGACTGGCACGTATATATATATATCGATAGATATTAATAAACTTGAATATATACATATGAACAGATTAGGATAGATAGATAGATAGATAGATAGATAGATAGATAGATAGATAGATAGATAGATAGGCTGATAGAGAGAGACTGCCACTTAAATAGATATGAACAGACTGGTATATACGGATATGAACAGATTAGGATAGATAGATAGATAGATAGATAGATAGATAGATGATAGATAGATAGATGATAGACTGGATAGATAGATAGATATGATGAATGAATAGATAGATAGATAGATAGATAGATAGATAGATAGATAGATCGGACGGGTGAGCTCAGAATTCAATACTACACTGGCGTCGAGATCTCATCAATTTGCAGCTGGCTAGATACAGCCGTAAATTCTATGCTAACAATTTCTTCTCTCGTACTTCTCGCTTGTGGAACTCCGTCCCGGCTCCATGCTTTCCCGCCAATTTTAATCAGCAAAAATTTAAATGCAATGTCAATCGCTATCTACTGTCCTTCTGATTACGCTTTTCTCTTTCTCCTCGTTACTAATGTTTCTCTTTCCAATTCCTCCACACCCTGTAAACCTATGGGTCTTAGTGGCTTTATTGCTTCGCTAGGGGCGGTACCCATTAAAAATATCTAAACTTCTAAAACTGTATTTTAGGTAAGAGCAACTTGAGCTGATGTAGCAATTTTTTTTTTTTTGATTTTTTTTGAAAGTCGATAATTATCATTAGAAATCGGGATGCAACACTTTTTTTTCTTAATCTCTCACATTCACCTGACCTTGTTCCCGGCTTGCCTAACCTGTATCACTGTAGAGATCGACAGATAGATAACTGTCTTGAATCCTTAAATTGTTTTGGCGTTATTTCGAAATAGGTAGTCACATATATATTGTTTTAATTACATATTGATGTAAATTATTTCAGAACGCCATTTTCCTGTCATTTTGTCTCCAAAATCAAAAGGACCAATGGGCGCAAAGATAACATCAGTTTCACTTTCTCTTTTAAAAGCGGCCATGTTTAATCATTTGAAATTCTTTCCGCTTTGCATACATTTTCTTCGTATTAAAATATTTTTTATTCTTTCTTTTGGATTTAAATTCTAGCGTGTTCATTTTGTTTTCTTTCTTTCTTCTATCTTATCTGTCTTACGTTTTTCCGGGTATAAGCATTTCGTTTGAAATATTCCACTTTATATATATATATATATATATATATATATATATGCATGCATAATGTTTAGTGATTTTTTGTAATACTTTTATTTTTTACTGATCTCTTGTTCCCTCTTTTTATATATTTTTTATATTGTTTCTTTTCTTTTTCTTCTATTTTTTCTTCTTTCTCTTTTCTTTTTCATTTCTATTTATATTGAAGGCTTCTTCTTCTTCTTCGTTTTTTCTTCTTTTACTTCTTGATCCTCTTCTTCGTTTCTTCTTCCTCTTCTTTTTCGTTTCTTCTTTTTCTTCTTCTTTGTTTCTTTTTCTTCCTTCTCTTCTTCCTCTTCTTCTTTTTCTTCTTCTTCGTATTCTTTCCCTTCTTCATTCTTCTTCTTCTTCTTCTTCTTCTTCTTCTTCGTTTCTTCCTCTTCTTCCTCTTCTTCTTCCTTTCTCCTTCTTCATCTTCTTCTTCCCCTACTTCTTCGTTTCTTCTTCCTCTTCTTTTTCGTTTCTTCTTTTTCTTCTACTTTGTTTCTTTTTCTTTTCCTTCCTCCCCTTCTTCTTCTTCTTTTTCTTCTTCTTTCTCTTCTTCCCCTTATTCCTCTTCTTCTTCATTTCTTCCTCTTCTTCTTCCTTTCTCCTTCTTCTTCCTTTCTCCTTCTTCTTCTTCTTCTTCTTCCCTTTCTACTTCGTTTTTTCTTCTCATTATCTCTTATTCTTTTCTTCTACATTTTTTTCTTTCTTCTTTTTTCATCTTCTTTTTCTTCTTCTTTTCTTCTCCATTGATACTTTACATTTCTGTCCTTTCTTCTTGTTGCTATAAGTTTTCTTCTTCCTTTCTTTTTCTCCTTTTTAATTTATCCTTCTTCGTTTTCTTCTTCTTTTTCTTCTTACCACTTTATATTTTCTCTTTCTTTTCTCTTCTTCTTTTTTTATACTTTATCCTTCCTCGTTTACTTCTTTTTTCTTTCCCATTTATATTTTTCTCTTTTTTTCTTAATTCTTCGTTTGTTTTTTTTTACCAATTTATATTTTTATCTTTCTTTTTCTTCTTCGTTTATACTTTATCTATCTTTCTTTCTTTCATACATCCTTGTTTGCTTATTTTTTTGTTTCATTCCATCATTTTTCTCTCGTTATCGATCAATTTATTCATTGTTTTATCAATCATATACTATAATTCACACCTCTTTCTTTCATTATTTTGCAAATTTATTCATTGATTCTTCATTTCTCTTTCCTTTTCATTTTTTTCTTCTTTTATCGCAGTTTTTCTCCTTCCTTTAATATTTTCTTATTCCTTTTCTCTTTGTTTTTCCTTCCTTCTTTTAATGTTTTCATAATTCTCTCCCTCACCAATATTTCCTAGCCGCCATTTTTTTTTTGTCTGGTCGGTTCGTGAATTTCTCTCTTGTTTCCCGCCAAACTTCAGTGACTGTGCAGAATGTTAACAATATGGCGTCAGCGGCTATTATCCACAGTGGAGAAACCTCCTATTTTCACTCACCGGATGCCTCACTGAATGGTTGGATAAAAGGAAAGTCTGGATGAAGACTTTTTTTTTACTTTTCAATCTGTTTCTACCTTTTTCTCCCTTTAGGCATCGAAATATGAACTCGTCCGACCAACCTTTACACTCCGCTGCACAAATCATCGGAGCCAATTCTCGCTCTCTGTCACGCTGCTATTGAACTGAGAGTCACGTGGTACAGACTGATAGAAAATGGCGGGAAGGTGGATAAAGTACAAGCGTGTGGGGGACAATTTAACGAAAAAGAGATAATGTAGGGTGAGACGAATTAGAGGCAAAGAATATAGTTAGGAAACAGGAATTAGATACTTTCGAGATTGAATTAATGAATGAATGAATGAATGAATGAAGGAAGGAAGGAAGGAAGGAATGAAGGAATGAAAGAATGAATGAATGAAGGAAGGAAGGAAGGAAGGAATGAAAGAAGGAATAAAGGAAAAGAAGGAAGGAAAGAAAGAAAGGAGGAAGAAAGGAACGAAGAAAGGAATGAATGAAGGAAAGAAGAAAGAAAGGAATGAAGGATTGAAGGAAAGAAGAAAGGAAGTAAGGAATGAAGGAAAGAAGAAAGGAACGAACGAAAGAAGGAAAAGGGAAGGAAAGGAAGAAGGAACGAAGAAAGGAATGAATGAAGGAAAGAATAAAGGAAAGAATAAAGGAAAGAAGAAAGGAAGTAAGGAATGAAGCAAAGAAGAAAGGAAGGAACGAAAGAAGGAAAAGGGAAGGAAGGAAGGAAGAAAAGGAAGAAGGAACGAAGAAAAGAAGGAATGAAGGAAAGAAGAAAGGAAGGAAGGAAGGAAGAAGAAAGGAAGGAATGAAAGAAGGAAGGAAGGAAAGAAAGGAGGAACGAAGGAACGAAGAAAGGAATGAATGAAGGAAAGAAGAAAGGAAGGAATGAATGAAGGAAGGAAGAAGAAGGGAAGAAATGAATGAAAGAAAGAAGAAAGGAAGGAAGGAAAGAAATGAGGAACGAAGGAACGAAGAAAGGAATGAATGAAGGAAAGAAGAAAGGAAGGAATTAATGAAGGAAGGACGGAAGGAAGGTGGGAAGGTGGGAAGTAAGGAATGAATGAAGAAAGGAATGAAGGAAAGAAGGTTAGGGAAAAGAATAATTAAAAAAGGAAATCGGAAAAAAAGTAAAGAAAAAAAAACGAGATAAGATATTAAAAATGGAAGAAAAAGAAGCGAGTATTAAAAAAGAAACCCGAAAAAAACGGTAGAGAGACGCTTCCGAAAGACAAGAAAGGGAACAAAAAGACATCAGTTATTGAAGTTGGGGGGGGGGTAGAATGGTAAAGTCGGGGGTGGGGGCGGGGATGGGGGTAGACCGTATCGAATTGAAATGAACTGAAAAGGAGGAAGTGAAGTAGAATTCGATTTCGTTTTGTTTCGCTTTTTTTTCGTTTTTTTGAGTATATTTTTTTTTCTGCGTCGACCAACGCCATTAAGTCCTCGACCATTACAAATCAACATTTTGCATCGGATCAATGCTTACGTCATCAAAATTGGTAATTAATCAGTTGAAAATATTCCATCCACTGAATGAGAAAATTATTATTATTATTATTATTAATAATAATAATAATAATAATAATAATAATAAGTAAATAGAGGAAACGAGAAGAACTGTACTCGCATCATAGCGATGGTGATCGTGTTAAGACCTACCAATTATTTTTATTAGCAATATTTTTGTTGTAGTTTTTGTTATTATTATTATTACTGTTTTTGTTGTAGTTGTAATAAAGGGAGGAAAAGATAATGGCTGTATTGTCATTGTAGTAAAGGTGATGGTATTAGATATGCCGTTCATTATTATTTCTATTTTATCGTTATTATTATTATTAACAAGAAAAGAGATAGTCTGTACTATCGTCGTAATGGTTATAATCGTGTTAGTCATTTTATTATTATTATTGGCGTTTTATATCTTTTTTAGCTTCCTTTTTTTCCCTTCCTTCTTGTCTAATTTTCCTTCTTTTTTTCTTCTTTTTCTTCAAATATTTATTCATTCTGCCGTCATTTTTCTTTCTTTTCTACCTGCATTTTCATTTTCTTACTTTCTTCTTTTTCATTTCATTCCTTCTTTTTTCCAATACTCCTTCATAATGCTCTCTTTCTTTCTTGCTTCATTGACTTCCCTTTTTGATTCTTCCTTTTCTTTTTCCATTTCTTTTTTTCCTTTTCTTTTTTCTTATTTTCCACGCTTTTTCCCTTTTTCCTTTCTTTTTCTTTCCTTTTTCCTTCATTTTCTACCTTTTCCTTTCTTTTTCTTTTCTTTTTTCCTTTATTTTCCTTTCTTTTTTCATTCTTTTTCCTTTATTTTCCCCTTTTTCCTTCCTTTTTTACTTTCTTTTTCTTTCTTTTTCCTTTCTTTTTTCCTTTCTTTTTCCTATTTTCCTTTCTTTTTCTTTCTTTTTTCCTTTATTTTCCCCTTTTTCCTTTCTTTTTTCCTTTCTTTTTCCTTTCTTTTTTCCCTTTTGTTTTCCTTTTTTCCTTTCTTTTTCCTTTCTTTTTTCCTTTCTTTTTTCCTTTCTGTTTTCCTTTCTTGTTTTTCCTTTCTTTTTTCCTTTCTTTTTTCCTTTCTTTTTTCCTTTCTTTTTCCTTTCTTTTTCCATTCTTTTTTCCTTTCTTTTTCTTTCTTTTTTCCTTTATTTCCCCCTTTTTCCTTTCTTTTTTCCTTTCTTTTTCCTTTTCTTTTTTCCTTTCTTTTGTCCTTTCTTTTTTCCTAATCTTTATTCCCTTCTGTTTTCCTTTTTTTCCTTTCTTTTTTCCTTTTCATTTTCCTTTCCAGATTGCCTTTTCTTTTTTCTATATTTTCTTTTTTCTCTTTTCCTTTTCTTTTTTTTTCTTTCTATTTTTCTTTTCTTTGTTCCTTTGTTTTACCTTTCTTTTTTTCCTTCTTTGTTCCTTTTTCTTTTCTCTTTTCTTTTTTTTTCTTCCTTTCTTTTTTCTTTCTTTTCTTCATACCAATGCTTCTTCGTCCTTCCTTGATTGTCTCTTCTTTTTCTATATTCTTTTTTCTTTTTCCTTCATTCTGCCATTCATCTTTCAACCTCACTTTTCCATCTGCTCCCATCTTTACGTTTTTTCCCGCTTCTTTCTTTCAATGGTTGAAACGTCAATGAAAGTTATAGAATATCAAGGCGATTATATTACAATGTAATCTAATGGAATAACCATTAATTCAGACATTTTTGCAATAAATATTAAATCTGTACAAGACTCGAGAGACACTCGGGGTAGAGGTTTATAGAGTAAAAGTCACAGCTTATGGAGATATGTGAGAAGATAACGGTTAACCCTAATAGGATAAGATTGTAACGATCGGGAAACACCCTCTTGGGAGTCGGTTCTACAAAATAGCAGTTCGTGGGAAGAAGCTACTCGAGTGGTACTTACATCTTCTCAATGGAACAGGAAGGGAATGAGGGTGGTTTACTACATTGGGCGTGGCCGGGTGGTTCTTAGCCCTGAAGGTTAGATCTGGTAGAACTAATGAATGCAGTTCGTCTAAACAGATTAAATAGAAATAATGTTAGGTAGCAAGAGGCTGTGAGAAAGAGGTTTTAAGGGGGATAATAATCCATCACCCATAAGGACGCGGAGACGCTGTTGGACTATCGAGACTAGAAAGTGAAAACTAACAAGCTTTAGACCATATATACCAGCAGTAGTCCATTTTCTGATCTTGTAAAGGTAGAGTATGGACACGTGGCCGAGAGGTTAGAAACGTTCGCATTCTGATCATGAGACCCGGGTTCGGATCTCACCACGGTCGATTTGTCAGGAAGGAGATTTCCTGATGTTATCGAACTGGAGGGGTGGCACTTTTGGAAAGTGCCTGAAAACGATACCACGGGTTGAGCCAAGCCTTGTGAGTGAAATTGGTTAGACGGAACCTTTGGGTGACGTCGATAGCTGTGCTAGCACGAAGTCACAAGTCATCGTGGCCGAGGACTTAAGCGTGCTGGCCTTGTTCAAATTGTTGATCACGCTAGATAACACGCTCTCTCCCAGAAACTATAACTAAGGTCTGCACCTCATAGTTGCAGTATAAACCAAAAGTGGGCTCCGTGGGTGATGAATAAATACAAATATGCCTGAGCAAGTATCTGCAATAGAGATTGTCTAGCCGCCCTACTAGACAGGTATCCTCGAATACGAGTGGCCAGCTATACAAAGGTAGAGAATAGCTGGAGGAATCAGGTGCTTACTGGCGCGGTACAGAGAACCGACCCTTTTCACAGCATCTTTAGCGATGGATCGTATGTAAGAGTTCCAAGAGGCGTTCAAGGCCCTACCCGAGAGAACATCCATTCATGACGACTGTTGAGACTTCAGGGCCCGATGATTGAATGTAACTAGTTTCGTTTTCAAGACTTTAGATGTGACCAGCCAGATTTTTTTCTCCTCTGTGCTGTGAGAGCTCGAACAATGAATAGATCAGCGCCAGTCACTTGTCATTTGACATTTGCAGACGCATATATATATATATATATATATATATATATATATATATATATATATATATATATGTGTGTGTGTGTGTGTGTGTGTGTGTGTGTGTGTGTGTGTGTGTGTGTGTGTGTGAAAAGTGTATGTATATGCGTGGTACTTGTTGGAGGCGCTCAATATCAGTGATGGAGCAAACATGTTTGGTTGGGTTGATGTCAGTTTGTGACCCTGGGTTTCACGCTACTGGCGATCGTCAGACAAACTGATTATTTTTTTACGTTGTGGGCTTATATATGGCTGCGTATATCGAACACCGATATACGCAACCATAATTTTAAAAATTAATCAGTTTGTCTGACGATCGCAAATAGCGTGAAACCCAGGGTCACAAACTCACATCAATCCAACCAAATATATATATATATATAATATATATATATATATATATATATGTGTGTGTGTGTGTGTGTGTGTGTGTGTGTGTGTGTCATCAGCATAGATGTTCACAAATGATCAGGTATGCTCTTAGGAAGATCATTTATGGAATATAAAACGAGGGTTGGACTGAGAAGCGACCCCTGGGAGCGGGGGAAAGTCTGCTCTGGTCGTTTCGACTTTTTTTTTCTAGTACTTACTATTAATCCAAAATGTTCAAAGTTCAGGCCAATTTCTTAAATAGCCACCTCAGATTTAGACCTTCTAATACACATCATTCATGGTGACTAACTGATCCCAAGAGGAACAGGCCTGGATGCGAGCAATAAATCAAAACAATCAAGAGAGCACAGAAATTTAACTACCGTATATTTCTGCGTATAAGGCGAGCTTTAGTTAATAGGAACTAAAAAAATAATGCAAATTTTCATGAATTTATCCTATACCTGTAGTATAAGACGATTGCTTATTAATTATATAAAAATGATCTTATTGGAAATGTGGTTACTTACTGTATCCTTAGACATTTAAAATAAACAAAATAACAAAACAGATTCTTGTTGTGGTGTCCTCCCTCTAAAAGTCTATGTTAGACTCTTTCGCCTACTTCAAATTTAGTAGGAGAGAAGGTTCGGAGGAAAAGAGAACAGTGAATAGATTGAGCCCTAGTTCATTCGATACACTCTTACTCGTCGTGTAATACTCTTCTGGTGTACTTACTATTTAATATACGATATATATGCAAACCTGGTTTTTGTTATTACTTAACCATTTACTTGGTCACAAAAATACTATATCATATTTTTCCTACACACATCCCCTAAAAGGGAAACCACTGTTTTGTTTACATTTCATCAGGTGATCTCTTGCAAATACTGATTCTTCTTCTTTTCCTATATCTAAACAATTACAAACAGCCTGGTGTACTAATGGCCATTTACTTATACTGCATCGACAATCATAAAATACCGCTAATAATAGTATATTCCATTGCTGTGAACGCAATCATAACTCAATGTTTACATTTTCTCAGCTGAGCTTGCATGGATACGAGTTGATTTCATTCATATGGAATTATTCTTCGAACAGGCAATTTATTATGAAGTTATGCCAGTAATATATAAGGTAGAAATGGTTTTATTAATTTTATTATCAATTTATTTGATAATGGGAATCTTTTCATGTACATTATTGGTTATCGTACCAAGGCAGAGGTTAGCCTACCGGCAAACATTACTCAGAATTTAAGCGTTCTTTTTTAGAATTGTTGTATAAGACGCCCCACCATTTCCACGTATAAGGCGACCTTTAGATAAGACAAGTTAAAAAAAATTAAAAAAAATCTAGCAAATTTTCCTGAATTTATTCTATACCTGTGGTATAAGATGATTGCTTATTGATTATATAAGGATGATGTTATTGGAAATGTTGTTACTTACTGTATCTTTAGAAATTCAAAATAAATGAAATAACAAAACTGATTCTATATCATGTTTTTCTTACCCACGTCCTTTAAAAGGGAAACCATTGTTTTGTTTACATTTCATCATGTGATATCTTGCAAATACTGATTCTTCTTCTTCTTTTCCTATATCTAAACAATTACAAACAGCCTGGTGTACTAATGGCCATTTACTTATACTGCATCGACAATCATAAAATACCGCTAATAATAGTACATTCCATTGCTGTGAACGCAATCATAACTCAATGTTTACATTTTCTCAGCTGAGCTTGCATGGATACGAGTTGATTTCATTCATATGGAATTATTCTTTGAATAGGCAATTTATTATGAAGTTATGCCAGTAATATATAAGGTAGAAATGGTTTTATTAATTTTATTATCAATTTATTTGATAATGGGAATCTTTTCGTGTACGTCATTGGTTATCTCACTAAGTGTGTAGATTGTGCTCGTCTCGCAACCATACAGAAAACTTTTTGAAAAAAGTCATAACAGGTGACGTATCGTGGGTCAATGGCAATGATCTTGAAGCTAATACTCAGTCTTTGCAGTGGCAGACTCTAACCTTTTTCTCTGACTACATGAGTATACTCTACCTGGTCGTCAGTGAAGAAGGGGTACTACCGTGACGTGTTGTTGTTTATCGGAGAAAAACAGAATTTTATGCGCCCGGTCAGTGGCAACTCCATGCTTCCTATTTAGTGCAGTCTGTGTAGCAGTTTTTGGCCAAGTATAACATTCCCTCGGGTCCGACAACTATCTTATTCTCCAGATCGTGATCCTTGAAACTCTTTTCAAAAAATCAAATCCCATTTGAAAGGAACAAGATTTCAAGACATCGAAGAGATCCAAGACGAGGAAGCTGCTCGCTTTTCCCCAAAAATGAACTCGAGGAATGCTTCCATCAATGCAAACGAAGCTGGATAAAGTGTGTGGCTTCAGAAGGGGATTCCTTTAAAGGAGATTAAATGCTGAATTAATATGTGTTGTAGTTTTCTTTTTTATAGTACCAGTCCCGATACTTTTTGATCAGATCTCGAATATATATATATATATATATATATATATATATATATATATATATATATATATATATATATCAAAATAAAAAGTATAAAATTTAATATTACAAGACATGACAAACAATATTAAATAATAAAAAAAAACTCAACAACAACAAGGTGAAAAGATGTTCGCTCGGCGGAACTTCCAGGTGTTCAATAGCAAAACACAAAGTGCCGCCAAATTTAGTGTCGAAAAAAAATTCACCGTATATATATATACATGTTTGTATATCTGAAGGAACTAGAGGCAGACGACAGATGGTCCCAGCAAACACTCCGTTGTTTGCACAACGGAAACTTTGGGACCCGATGTCATCTGCCTCAGTTCCTTCTTGATAAATACAAAACCATATATATATATATATCTGAACCAGTTTTTTCACTAAATTTGGCAGTACATTTCTGCTATTTTAATTTTGAATGTCCTGTGGATACGAGCGGGAGCGAAACCGGTTGCTTCTACCCGCCCTTGTTGTTGAGTATTTTATTATTTAATATTGTTTTAATATGTCTTGTAATATTAAATTTTATACTTTTTATTTCGATCATTAAATTTTGTACTTTACTAAATATATATATATATATATATATATATATATATATATATATATATATATATATATATATATATATATATATATATATATATATATATAATGAAGTCCAAAATCATCTCATATGGGGAATAAGTTTATTCTGGCAG